TAGTAAACAGCTAAAACAGTTATCAAACCAAATCCAAAATGAATCATTCATGCAGAGAAGGGACACTTCACAAGAGACAAAACAATGATTAATTAGCAACTGTTAACACAGTAATTCAGGCATTAAGTAACAGCGCTGAAGTAAAATCCTTTTGAATAAAGTACATTTGCTGAAGTAAATGAGTTGGTCTCTGCCTAAACAGATTTGTATTAAGTGGTGCACAAACAGTAGCATGTTTAGCCTCCCATGATTTTGAAATTATTGTGGAAGAGCAGCAGTGGAGTGGGTTGAGCATTTCACTAGTGGGACCAGCTGTTGCAGCTGAATGTAGCCAGACCAGGCATGACTAACTGGTGATTTCCCTTGGAAATGCTGTTTGCATTGCAGTGGAATTTTTGACAGTCTCTTTTTTTTCTGAAGTTACCCAGTGGAGTTTACCTGCTGCTGTGAGTAGAAAGAAGTCTTGGTATAGTGGAGTTTCAGATGAAAAATAAAACACTGTGGTGGTGGTGGTGTGGAGTTTTGAGCTGTGGGATGATAGATTTAAGAGCTGTGCAGCATAAGGAAAAGATAAAAAAACTGTGAAAAGGTATCATTGAAAATAATACTTGTCTTTTGAAATTTCTGCAGGATCCTAGAGTTGCAAGAAAGTGGAGATTTGGATGTTCTTAAACAGAAATGGTGGCCACGGATGGGACGCTGTGACCTGAATAGCCACACCAATGCACAGACAGATGGGAAGGCACTCAAGCTTCACAGTTTTGCAGGCGTTTTCTGCATTTTAGCAATAGGCCTTCTTCTTGCTTGCTTGGTGGCAGCATTGGAGTTGTGGTGGAACAGCAACCGTTGTCATCAAGAAACACCGAAAGAGGTCCATAACTTTTATTCTTATCACAATTAAAAGTAGAAAACACAAAAGAAAGAGAGAGCGAGTGAAAGTTGTGGGATTTTAGGTGCTCTCATACAATAAATTTGATTTACATTGATTCGCCATACTAAGCTTTGCATATAACTTTTTGGGTGGTTGTTTCTAAGCAAATAAAAGAACAAACAAATGTGTCTTTTGTGCACACGGAAGGTGCCAAACTGACGGCCCTGGAGACTAAAGTCCTCTATTTATTTGTAGAGCAGATACAGCATGGGCAGCAGCAGTGCAAACTTCCCCTCATTGCCCCACCATTGTGCCTCATCCCTGACCTGGAGAGACCACCTTTAGGGGTAAGAGAGTAGTTCAGAAACACGCCCTCGGCCACTCTGCTGTGAGTGACGGGGAGGCCAGTCACGGGCACCCAGTTGTACCATCTGTGGTAATGTCTTCCCTGATCTGAGCCCCCACCCACTGGCTGTGAGAACCACGTCCATCCTGTGCAGGCTGTGCAGCTGCCAGCCATCTGGTAGCTTCTTTCCTTCATGGCTGACCTAGGCTGAGTTTGAAGAGGTACATGAGCAATTAAAAATAAACCAGCTAGTTAATAATTGAATAAGCCATATTGTCATGACACTGTTTAAATGCTTCCCTTCTTTTGAATTCAGTTTTATTTCTAAAAATAGGAGCCTCTGAGAAAACTGACCTTCGTATAACATGTTTTACCTAGAAAAATACCTCTGAGAATTTTCTTGGGTTTGAAGTTTCCATGCACAGTAGTAACAGTTAGCAATGCTATGATAGAATAATCAGTCCATGCTCAGATCTGTCTTGCATGAAGCCTGTATTTCTTTACTTATACTAAATGTTTAACAAACTAACCTCTTGTTATTTTGGAGACATTGAGGCATTTGTAGGTGCTTTCATCTTGGAACAGATGTTTGTTACAAGCAAATAATAGCAGTGAGCTGCACTACAGCTGGAAAATAGTATGTAACCCATCAGTTCTAATCTATGTTTCTCAAGTTGCAGTAGTACTTGACTAATTGACATACCTATCACCTGTAAGCAATTTTGGCAAATTGGCAACCTGGTCTAGTGGATGACATCCCTTCCCATGGTGGAAGGGTTAGAACTAGAGGATATCAAGGTCCCTTCCAACCCAAACTGTTCTATGATGCCATGATTTCTCCCTGCTGCTGTGTAGGAGTCGCTCCTGCTGTATCCCCAAAGTTCCCCCCACCTCAACATTGTGAAGGCCTAAAGCCCAGTGGTTGGTGGTTCACTGCCCACTGTGAAAGCCTGCCAGGGAAGGGACAGTGGAGTTGTCTGAAGGGTCCTCCTGCTGCGTATGCACAAGCACAAATCTGGCCAGACTATGCTGTGAGTTCCCCTTTCTGTGATCAGGGACTCACCTTTGTGTATCTTTGTAGAATGAGATAAGGGTATGACTCAATCGCAGTTTCATATAAGATGAAATAATTCACTCATTCACTGAAAGGAGTTTTAAATACTCATTTTCCATTGCTGAAAAAAGATCTGTCTTGTCAAGTTTAAATATTTTCTTATTTTTACCTTTCCCCTTTATTTCTCTTTTTATAACTGTTAAAAGGAGTACTACATATCCCTGCCTATCCCATCCCATCTTTTCTCCCTTTCTCATCCTTCTCCCCTTTCCCTCCAGTGCATTTTTGATCAGGGTTGCTCTGTACATCTGTACTGCTCTTTTGCAGTTTCTGTGACAAACAATAGAATGCTTTTAAGCTTCTGTGTTTTAAAGTCTACTGAAGTTACCCACGTGGTACAGCTGTGCTCGGGAAAATCACTGTGTGTGGGGCTGGCTCTGCCTTTGGAGCACAAGCAGGTTGGGTTAAGGAGGGAAATTAAACTCAGGTACAGCACATGGACTGGTTCTGGAAAGATCAGTGATGTGAGTCCTGCTGAGGGAGAGGGAGCAGAGTCAGTGGGAGCCCTGGCACAAGTAGGTGTTAAGGTTGAATGAGGAAGTGCATGTTCCCAGTGAGAGGGCATGGGGCCAAACCAAGCTGGTCAGGAGGGAAACATGTGGTAGGTATGCCAGGCAGGCAGGATGGGGTGGAATGAGGGGTCCCTGGCAGGGACAGCTGGGTGCAATGGAAGGCAAACAGCTAGAGGCACCTTTGGATCCAGCCAGAGGGAAGGGTGACTGCTGCCCAGCACCATGGACAGGCAGGATGCTTAGGGACCCTCTGCCCAGGTGTGTGACAGCCACACTGCTGTTGCACTCTAAGCTCTGATCCCACTGCAGACCAGGGCCTGGGGGTTCTGGTCACAGTGACCACAAGATCCACTCTACTGAATTAGCAGAAGAATGTAGCAGATATTTCCCTGTAGATTAGGAGTCAGAGATATTTTATTTATGTGCTACCAGTGAGGAGATGTCAAAGTGGGATTACTGACGGCTGCTGCGATTAAGGTGGGAAAACAAGTTTCAGAAGAGATGGTGTACATGAGTTGAAGGTTTTAGATGTGTTTAGAAGACTTAAGTTTCAAAACTTTGGGAAGGACAGGATCTAGGACTGAGGGGAGCATGGAGTCCTGGATACTCCCCTGTTTGAGTTAGGAGAAGTGGTGCAGAGCACAAGGAGAATTTGATATCCAGGAGGAGCATGCTCAGGATATCTGATTTCTACCACTGTTTCTGGCATTTCTACAGCAAGAGCTATAACAACAGAGCTGCAGCACATGTAGCACACACAGAACATTAAAATCTGCCTCTTAGCTGCATCTGATACTCCAGCCAAGTCATTAGTTCAGTAACAGCTGCAAACTCAAGTCATGCTGCTGATTTTCTTCTGCTTTTGGGAAGGCTTTGGCAAAACATGAGTGTTGTGATATCACCTAGAAATTGTGGGAACTGGGTTTTCTACCAGCCACTTTCTTCTGTGGAGTGCAGAGCTTGTGGAGGGTCACAGAAGAGGCTGATTTTCTTGCAGTCTGACATTGGACTTTGGTGTCACCTAGTCCAGGCAAAGGAGAAGGTGGCAACGTTTGGCTTCTGTGACCCTTAGCCTGTTAGAAGATTTATAAATCCATTGTACAAAATTGGAGTGGAATCAGAACTGAATGAGGAGTTGCTGTGGCTCACAGAGCTCTCGTGTGACGTTCTCTGTTGGCATGAGCCACTCGGTAGGCTGAGCCACTAGGTATCACATCAACAGCTGCCAACTCAAAAAACAGAGATGCTGGGAAGATGGAGGCACAACTGCTATGGCAGATTTATGATGGGGTTGGATGGTGTGCATCTTGCTGGAGAGAGAGAAATCATTTTTTTAGAGACTCTTTGTATGTCAAGGGTCTGTGAAGTCTGGGGTCAGAAGAATGTGCACAGCCTTCATTAGCATTGGAGAAACGTTTTCAGTTGACATTAAGGTGTTGGATTTTTGCCAGTTTGTTTGTCTTTTCTTTCTCCGCTTTGTATTTCTTAGGCTTTTGTGGAGGTTAGGTTGAGCCAATACATTGATGTTCAGGGACTCAGATGTCTGCATGGTATAAATCACAGCTCTTAATTCCAATGAGTGTGCAGAATGTAGTGTTGACTGTGTACCTGGGGGGAGCAGGAAGCCTGCCTTTTGAAACCTGACAACACAACTTGGACCTTGACATTAACATCATCTACTTTTGTACAGACTTTATAGGAAGAGTTAGATAAGGTGAAGACTGCTTTTGGTTGTGATATTTTTACAATATTCACATATGAAGAAACTCTGCCCCACAAAATTTAAAAAATAAAAAAAAAAAAGGTAATATTTTTTCTACCTGTTATGTCAATTCATTACGATAAACTTCCAGGAAACATGAATTTGCTTTTTTTTTCCCAAAGACACAAATGCCGTTGATTCACAATTGTGTTATCCAAAGAACAGTGACATTTCTTGCTAGAAGAGTGAGGGTTGGGTTGATCTTCTTTTTCAGGATGTTGATACAAAATATTTTTATTCTATTTGAAACAGATTTATAAAAATGTTTCTAAGTATTTCTGATTTGCAAATCTTAATGTTATCCTTATTAATTCTTCATTTAATCCTTATCAGATCAGATTAACAAAAGAAAGATTAGTTCCAACATCAGGAAAAAATGTATATCTGCAACGTCATGCCACATTCTTCTGTTAGGGCTCAAGTTGTCTTTTTTAATTTCTAATTAAGAGAAACTTAGTTATCTTTTCCACAACAGATTTTCTCCTAATTGTCAATACACAGCCGTCCTATATCCACAGTGAAATTTAGCCAGCTCATACATCTGTCTCTGTGTGTTAAAAAATTGAATTTACTCAGCTGCTGCGCAGCCTGCAATACTGATACCTAATCTTTTAACTTTGATAAGCTTCAGAAAATTGGGGAATTGTAAAAAAATTAGTATTTATTGTGGAGTCTCTGCTCAGTCACTTTATGTCCCTTTTAAATAACTGAGCAATCAGATAAAGTTGTTAAACCTTGGTACCACATAAATGTTGAGCTTTTAACAATTATCTCTGGAGTTCTATATCTTTTTGTGCAAGTCCTATGCATTTATTTCACAAAATGAGTAAGCTATAATGTAATTTGGATCATTTAACTGCCAAGGGCTTTGCCACATCATCAGATTGTTGGTATCTTTTATTCCATTTGACAGAATGAAAGACAGTTTTCACATCTCCATTGCCATTATGATCAAGTGTAGCTGCTTATTGCAATGGGCTCCCCAGCATCCTCTGTGCTTTATCAGCTATGTCTTAGTGTGATGTGCTATTCCTCTTGAAGATTATTACTTCTGAGATCTCTTCAGAACTATTAAGGAATCACTCCGCGTTCATTCACATACTACAAAACAATGGAAACTTATAAGCAAAGATAAAATATCTTACTCTTCATGGAAAGAAAGTTGAATTCCCATATTTTTCACTGTGCATGAAGTGTATTCTTTAAAAAGAAACGGCAACTCCCACATAAAACAAAATTAATCACAGAAGATTTTTTTTTTCTGGG